AACTATTTTTTTGACCATAAAAAACCCCAAACTGGTACACCTGTGACAATTTTACCCTGAACTATTTTTTTGACCACTAAAAACCCTAAACTGGTACACCTGTGACAATTTTACCCTGAACTTACCACAAAAAATCCCAAACTGGTACATATGTGACAATTTTACCCTGAATTAAAATTTTAATATTATTTTTTATTTTTTTCGAATTTTTATTTATTTTTTATTCTTTTCTTTTCTTTTTTTTTTTCATCTTCAGACCCTGGCCGGTTGTCGGTCAGAGGCGGAAGCCGGCGTGGGCCGCCCTCGCCGGGGGCGGGCGAGGCCATCCTCGCCCGCCCAGTGGCAAGGGCGACCTTCGCCCGAGGCGAGCGAGGGTCGCCTCGCCAAATCCGGCGAGGCCGACTCCTCGCCAGACGGGCGAGGGTTGCCTCGCCGGATCTCGCGAAGGCGACCCTCGCTCGCGTCGGCGAGGGCGGCCCTCACCGGCATTGGGCAAGGGCCCGTCCTCTCCTACCCAGGGGCAAGGGCGACCCTCGCCCGACTCGAGTGAGGGTCGCCCGCCGAGATCCGGCGAGGGCAACCCTCGCCCGATACCGGCGAGGGTCGGCCTCGCCGGATCTGGCGAGGGCGACCCTACCCTGCCTCGGGCGAAGGTCGCCCTTGCCCTGGGCGGGCGAGGATGGCCCTCGCCCGACCCCGGCGAGGGCGACCCTCGCCGGCTTCCGCCTCTGACCGGCGACCGGCCAGGGTCTGAAGATGAAAAAAAAAAGAAAAGAAAAGAATAAAAAATAAATAAAAATTCGAAAAAAATAAAAAATAATATTAAAATTTTAATTCAGGGTAAAATTGTCACATATGTACCAGTTTGGGATTTTTTGTGGTAAGTTCAGGGTAAAATTGTCACAGGTGTACCAGTTTAGGGTTTTTAGTGGTCAAAAAAATAGTTCAGGGTAAAATTATCACAAGTGTACCAGTTTGGGGTTTTTTATGGTCAAAAAAATAGTTTTGGGTAAATGTGTCACAAGTGTACCAGTTTAGGGTTTTTCGTGGTATTAACCCAAATTTAAAGCAAAACATTCTATAACTCTAGATACTCTCATAATACAAAACCTTACTGTTAAAGACACTCATGAACAGATTAACATTTTAGATAAGTCTGATACAAAATCAATTCTTGAAATAAATAGGATTACTTGGAAAGATCCACAAAAATTATACTTTTCTAGGGCAACACCTCCTGATATACTTATGGAAGAATCATCTTCAAAAATACAGAATAAACACTCTTCTGATGCAATATATGAATGGAACATAGATGGTATTTCTGAACAAAATCTTATAAATATTTTAACCTAAATGGTTATGCTTGCTAATATTTATAAAACCGTCCCAGATACCACAAATCATTTGGTAGCATACCTTTTAGTAGCAGGATTTACTGGTCAGCTAAAAGGATGGTGGGATAATTATCTAACAGATGAGCAGTGAAATCAAATTCTCAATGCCTATAAGTTAGATGATTATGGCCAAAGAATTGTTGATGAGGAAGATCAACCCATCCAAGATGCTGTTAATACTCTTATATTTTCAATATCTCAACATTTTATGGGAGATCCATCTCATATTCGTGATAAGAATCAAGACCTTTTATCCAATATGAAATGAAAATCTTTAGGAGAATTTAGAGAATACAAAGAAGTATTTTTGCAAAGAGTTTTCCAAAGAACATATTATAACCAACCATTTTGGAAAGAAAAATTTATTGTTGGCTTAGCCAAACTAATAGGAGAACAAGTTCGTAATAAGATAAGAGAAGAATATGGACAACAAATTCCATATGATCATCTTTCTTATGGCGAATTAACCTCTTATACTTATAAAATCGGAACACAAATGTGTACCAATATTCGTCTTCAAAAATAAATCAAAAGAGAACAAAAGAATTCTAAAAAAGGATTAGGAGATTTTTGTGCCCAATATGATCCCTCTTTTAAGTGTTTTGAAAAATCTAAACCAAAGTGTTTAGGGAAATGCTCACCTGAACAAAAGCCTAAGAAGAAATTCAATAAAAAGTTTTACAAGAAGAAATCTAGGAAGTATCCTGAGTATAAGAAAACTTCAAAAAAGAATTTTAAAAACATTACTTGTTATAATTGTGGAAAGAAAGGTCACACTTTTAGATATTGCAAAATTAGTAAAAAATTAAATGATATATATATATACACCATACAGCTCTCAGGATCTGGGGATCTATATATAGAAAAGTAGTAAACTAAGAAGTATTCAATAAATTTATAGATTATTGGTTTATAAGTGATTTTAACCTAGACGTCTACATGTGTGATTATTAGAATAAGTAAGAAAAAGTTCTGTTACATCAATATCTAAAATGTAATCGAAGTAATCTATTAACCTAGTTGTGATTCTTATGGTTAAAATGATATATTGTATACTTACAAATAATATAAAACTAATTAAAATTATGAGAATGGAAAATTATATATAAAGCAAGAGTGACATATAAGACATAAAGTAAAATAACACATAAAAATAAAACCACCACAGGAGGGGATATCCACTCCCACGTGAGGTATGGATGAAGGTGATTAATAACAAATCACAACGTGACCCTCGTTAAGAGAGATCTCGTTGGACAAATAAATAAAGAAAAGTAAAACCATCCACAAGGGGGGATTCCACACAAGAGGGGAAACCCACTCTCAAGTGGGGTGTGGATTATCGTAATTAACAATAAATCACAACGTGACCCTCGTTAAGAGAGATCCCGTCAAACATATAAACAAGAAAGATGAAAATGCGATTCTTCTACAAGGGTGGTAAACCACTCACAAAGGGCGGTAATCCACACACAGGTAGTGATCCCACTTGTAATAGAACAAGAAAGATAAACTTGGATCATATAATGCTTAAGCCAACCATGAACCGGTTGGTAATCTCTTTATTAAATAAAGAAACTTACAAGTGATCAAGAACAGGAAGAAGAAGAAGAAGAAGAAGAAGAAGAAGGTAAAGATGAGTGATGGTGGAAGACGTGAGCTTAAGTAGAAGCAAGAAAGCTAGAACAAGAGGAAGAGAGCAAAGGGTCAGGAATCTCAGAGAAAAAGCGTGCCCTTCCACTTCCTTCTGCCTTCATTTTACAGGCAGTGATTTGATGGGTTTTTTTTTAATAATTTTTTTTTTAGAATTTCGTTCTTTGTGATGATTGTGCTGGTGACCTTCATAGCTGATGGTTGCAAAGTTAATGTGATTCAAAGGTCTTCGTCTTCATCGTCATCTTCCAGAATCTCAGAGCTGATGATTATATATATATACATATTTGCAACCATATATATATATATATATTGGGCATTCTTCGTTAAGAGCATTCAAGAAGCAACTTCTTTGTTAATTACATTTTGAAGTAATTCGAGAGTATTAAAGTCAATAAATTTTGTGACAAGATTTTGTATAATTCCATTGTGAGATTGAAAGATTATTTTTTAAGGAATTATAAAGGCTAAACACTGTGAAAATTACTCGGTGTAATTGAGTGTTGGGAAATACTAAAAGTACTTGAGTGTAGTTGTAATTTCCATTGTATCGCATGATTATAATGGAATACTTTGATGCTCTTCTCATAGAGTAAGTCACAAAAATCGAACAAAGTAAATTCGGTGTTCAATTTAGTTCCTTGTTTTGTTTTTTGCATTGTTTGATTGCTTGTTTTTTGCAACAAACGACCCATGACGATGTAATTATATCAACAGTTCTCCCACCGGCTTTTGGAATATTACTCTTTTGCAGGTACATGCGATTGACTATCGAATTTGAAATCTCATCATTTCACCTTCATTTGTGATACCAACTTCCTTGAATTCACATAGAATTACAAAAGAAGAAAAAAAGAAAAAGAAAATTACAGATAGAAGTAGTTATCATGCGGAAAAAAAAAATGCAGTTCATAGGAATTTAGAGAGGATTCGAAATTTTTGAGGAGGATACCCTTAGACATATTCGTCAAATGTTTCAAATCCGGTTTCATAAGTTGGTCCTCCATTCGATATTATGGCCCCATTTGGTTCAGCATTTGGAATGCTCATTTAGGCTCTAAAGTTCATTGGCCAAATGCAAATGGTGTTTGACAACTTTTTTTACTCACTTTGGAGAAATGCAATTTCTTTTAGAATGCTCTCCAAGGGACTTTTGGCCAATGCAAGGGTGGAGGTGCTTTGAGAAGTTGCATTTTCGGAATGCAAATTGCACTGTTCATCACGACTATTCATCTTCCCCAGAGGCAGGTCCGGCGGCCGACGACCGCCGCCTGAAGGCTAGCCCGACCCCGGTGACCACCGCCTGGAGGTTACGCGACCCCAGCGACCGCTGCCTGGGTCGCGCGACCCAGGCGACGCCCGAGGTCCGGCAACCCCAGGCGGCGGTGGCTGGCAACCAGATCTGGCCGGCGGCAGTGGCCGGTGGTTAAGCTCCACCGGAGCTTTTTTTTTTAAAAAAAAAAATTAGCAAAAGTCCTTTAGTCCATGTTGATTTTAAAAAAACACTTACCAAACACTACTTGCATTTCGGAAAACCCCTTTAACTCAAAGGTATTTGCATTCCCCCAAATGCATTCCGCCAAAGTCGAACCAAATGGGCCCTATGTCACTCAACACCATACCACCAACGACGCCTCCAACGAATGCGGCTCCCATTCCGAAACCATTAATGTTGCCTCTCAGTTGCGGAGGCGGTGGCGGTGGCGGCTGCACCTGCACCGACTGTTGATAGCCATATGCAGCCGAATATCTTGGAGTGGGCTGAGGATATCCTGAAGTAGGTTGACGATATCCGACCTGTGGATAGCTAGGAATGGGCTGAGGATACTCGCCCGGGGCTTGTGGATAACTAGTAGCCGGCTGAGGATACCTTGCTTGCGGAACCACATCTCTAGGCCAGCCTTGAGGACCGAACCCGTATCCTCCTACGAAGCTAGGCTGAGGATATGATCACAATGGCGGAGCCACGTCTTTGGACCCTCCATGAGGAAGCAGCCCGTATCGACCTCCAAGGCCAGCCTGAGGATATCCTACCGGTGGATAACTGATCGGGGTTTGGGTCGTTGCCGCGGTATACGGCATGCTCGGTGGCGCTTGGAAAGGAAATCCCCCTGGTAGTTTTTCCCCGAACTTGAATGTGAATTTCAATTCGCCTTTCTCTTTACCAGACGGTTTCTTTACCGGATATTCAGCTTTCTTAGGATCCTTGTCCTTGCCAGCCGTTTCGAGTAATTCCTTGATGGGTACCTGAATACAATTATGTGCATGGTTTGTCAAGTTTTATATGAAACTCCTTTATCTTGCCTCCTTAACTAGACTCAGCGAAGTTTTCTTATCTCGCCCTCGTATAAGCTTAGGTTTCTAGGTCTGCCATTGAGTGGCACATTTATTTCATTGACGATCCGATTAAGATTCGATACTACATCCAGTAGAATTACACACTTACGTTGCATTCTAAGGTGAATGAAAAATTTTGTTCCCAAAGATAGAGACTTCCGTTTTCTTTTCTCACATATATGTTATCAATCTTACATCACCTGAGTTTCTCCAATGTCAAGATCACCGCCGGGGCGTTGGCATCTGAGTTTCAGAATCAAAAGAGGGCCATCCTTTTGGAGGGAAGCCGCGTCGATGACGAACTGCATGGGGAAGGTCCAGGCGGGGCTGTTGCCGCCTTCCCTGGCAGCTGGAGTCCGCTGCTTGGTGTTGGGATCGGTGGAGACGTTGGCCTCCAAGTACACAAGCATTTGCGGGACGTCTTTCCCCTTCTTGAGACCTTTTGCCGAGACTATGGTGATGTTAAGTGGCCTACACTCCATCTCCTTTCGGTCCTATACTTCTCTACTCAGAACACAGAGTTGAAACAAAAAGAGGCGAGAAACTTGGTGGAGGATTAAAGTGATATCTGCTTGGTTCAGGATGGTTCGTATTTATAAGCTAAGATGAAGTACGGGGAAAGACTACGGAGGTTTTCGATTTTGAAGTCAATGATCACGAGTTTAGGCTTAAAGAAATTCAACTTGCCTTGATAATGGGCACAACCATGCAAGAATAGTAACCACTGGCAAAGAATATCAACGTCTAAAATACAAAGTCAACGATGGGAGTTTTTGGAGGTCAATGAAGGGAACTATGAACATACAAAGTTAAAGTTCCTCTGCAGTCACTCCCTCATTCTTGATCACTGTATTAAGCATACTAATTAAAAAAAACTCTATTAAGCATGTAGTATTACAAAAATTGAAGTACTTTTCATAGAGAAATGTCACTAGCAAATCCCAATACAAAGCTTGCCACTTTTAGCATGTCTCCAGTAATTTCTGCAGCCTGAAATCTCGACCCAGATCGGGTCAACTTGGTTATAGGTCATCCATGGTTCATGCTGCTGTTTTGGAATCTTTAAAACTCATTTAAATGATATAATGAGCACACACAAGTTGTGCAAAAAACTTCTTCTATTACTTTTTTTTTTCAATAATATGAATCCCCGAATCTTCAATTCGACTAATCTCAACGAATGCGTGCAGATTATCCCACCCACATGTATTAGGTGAGGCTCGAGTGGCGGGCCTACAATACTTTACAATAAGATATTAATCGAATGATGGACTTAACCCTTTGTTTTTATATGTGTTCTTTCAAGGTTTTGATTCATCTAAATTGATAAGTGGCGGATAAATCTAAAGACAATTACTATACTGCTGACTTTGAATTGGAGTTGCGATGTCCATGTGACTTTGAACAATGTATATCATATTGCATTACCTGTCATTGACCTCGCAAAGATTCTAGACATGTCGGTCAATATTTGACTATTCAAACTTTGCTAATACGTGTTATTCATGGCCTTCACGCAAAAGAGTTCGGTTGGCCTCTTGGATCTTCTTGAAAATGTTTTGGACTTCATAGATTTTCAAGTTTTCTCGAAAGTATTTTTAGATAGTGAAGAGAAACACTTATCAAATACACATTGTATAAATAATTGATTTTAAAAAATATATATAAAGGTTGCATGACTCTTAGTACTGGTTTCGTCATTCTAGAAGTCGATCATTTCAAAATCGACGTTTTGGCCTTTGCATTCGAATGGCTAGTGGCGGGAAAGGGATTGTGTTGGACATACTCGACCCTCTATACCGGCGGGCCGTGCATGGTCTGACCCAGTTCGTGCTTTTGCCCCGGTTGTGCTTGTGTCGTGTATAACCTATGTCATTCTTGTGATCCTGCCATGTTTGCCATCGAGTGGCGATTTGTAAAAATGCGACTTGAAATCAAGTGATAAACGTTCAAGTTCCAAATTTCACGGAATTATCAATACATAGATAGAACATTATTCTTGATCTCAAAATATGGGCTTTCCCCTTTTAGAAAGATTAAGCATCAAATTGATCTCATTCCAAGTTCTTCTCTCCCTAGCAAAGCCGATGGAGGCAAATTCGTTATGTGAATTGTATTTACGTTTTGGTTAACATCATAACGCACATCCAAATTTACATATCTTGCAAGTTGAAGAGCTCCAATAATTTTCATGTTGAATCCTCGAACGCGTCCCAATAATAGATATTGCACTCCAAAGACAAATGCAGACTATTATGAGTAAACTTGAGAGACTGAGAGCGAAAATATACACTTAACTGGAGATTGAGAAGGAAAAGACATTGGCGAAAGAAAATTTGTGAGGATTTTAGATAGGTAAGTATTGGGCATTTGTAAATATAAATTTACTGAGGAAGAGAGAAAACACAGACAAAAAAAATTAAAAAGTGGGGGCCGTGCTGGCCCGATAGCAATGGTAATTAATCATTATTGTTTTATGGTTAATATATTTACCCATCTAGAAAATATTTTCCCTTGTTCACTAATAAATCAACTAATTAAACTCATGTTTTATAATCAATTCGATCCCTTGATTGGATCGGGGGCAAACACGTACGAAAAGATCACTTGGATTTAAGAAAGATTCGCTTGGATTTTCCCATGGTTTGTTTATTCCTTATCCCCCAAATCTTATTTCAATCTGATCCAAAAAGATTTCGAATTCTAAATATTGGATTTGATTTGGCTTTTTGAGTTAGTTAAATTTTGTTAACTACAATAATATGGTATATATAGAATATGTCATTTTCATGTTCCTTATTAGAGTGACACATAAGCACTTGATTCGAGTTATTTCTTTTATCTCCCCAATGAATCCTATGTTTGTAAAAATACGGACAAAATTTTCTCAATTCCAATCGATGAGGCACATTGTGTTGATTCTTTTAAGTAATATATCTGGAAAGACCCTTTGATTCCTTAATAAGACCGTTTTGAACACAGTTGATACATTCTAAAATAACCATTGCTCAGACATTTTTACCCTTGGCCATGAAAATCCTTCACGTTTTTTATTCAACCAACTCTTCTACTTTATGTGAAAAAAGGAAGGAAAAAAAAGAAATAAAAAACAAGTAAAACAACAAACTAATATTTTGGTATATATTGAATCGAAGTTTGATGTACAGTATTTCATTAAAAGATCTTGTATGATCTTCTTGCCGTAGACACATTTCTGTTCTCAAAATATTATTTATAGATGGAATTGGAGACTAAACCCGAATTTCGCCGAGGTTGAATCTACTTTTTTATTTCTCTTTCCTCCTTTTTTTATTATTAAATTTCTACTTGTTATATTGTATCGAATTCTATTTTATCGATAAAAAAAGAAGGGGAGGGATTACTCACAAATCTTTTGATTCTATGTCTAATCTTCTTCACCCCTTCACATGTCAATAGCTATGATGAAAAAAAAAAAAAGGAATGCCAATGCATCCGGAAATAAACGATTGATCTCTATCAAAAGACTTGCTAAAGCCCAAATCATAGAGTACTTGGTGCCACGGAAAGATATGCTTTTAGATCTTGCATTTTAAAACCTCCTTCTTTATTCTTTTTACTTATTGTATTTTTTTATTGTAATGCCTAATGGTAATGCATATATGATTCTATATAATATATATGTAAGTGGTTAAGGACTGCTTGTATTTGTACACGGAATTCCTAATTCCAATTGAAATGCACAATGATTCAGTAGATAAGATTTTGTTTTTTTTTTTAAAACTGAAAAAGATGTGCCTTCCGACCGAGCATTCCCAAAAAATATTCCTTTTTTTAGTTTTTTTTTACGATGGGTTAGATATTCATGTGTAGATAAGCCTTATATTATTATTATTATTATTATTATTATTATTATTATTATTATATGTTACATGAGAATAAAAAAAAGGAATGGCAAGATAACTTGGATATATCAATGTAAAAAAACGGATTTTGAAAACAAGAGAAGGATTCTATAAAATGACGCTATAGACCAATTGAAAAGGATGTAGGGTAGTTTGGTAGTGTGACTGTTTTGGGTAAAAATGTCACGTGTTCAAATCCTATCAACCTTACCTATTACTTCTCATATGAGTAGTAACGAAGGATTCATTGAAATCGATTCAAATCAAACATACATAATCATTTTTTTTTGTATCATATTCTATATGATAGTCTTATGTGTACAAGATGTATTTGGGTTAGAAAAACTCCTCTCTCTCTCTCTCTCTCTCTCTCTCTCTCTCTCTCTCTCTCTCTCTCTCTCTCTCTCTCTCTCTCTCTCTCTCTCTCTCTCTCTCTCTCTCTCTCTCTTTAAAGTTTTAGCTAGTATGATAATGATAAGAAGATAAGAAAGCGCTCTGTGTTTAGTTCGGTAAAACGTGGCTTTCCAAAACCCAATGTCGGAGGTTTAAATCCTGCAAAGCGTGATTCCAGTCTTGGTTAGGTTAGTCCGAAATTTATACTTAAATAATTGAACAGTAATCTTAATTCGACCTCCTTTAAATTAAAGAAAAGAGGTGAGGAGGTCACTTAAAAAAGATGTTAATTAATTTAATCAAAGGTCCAACTGATGACCACGTCTTTATTGTAAATATGCAGGTGCAAATAATCCAGCTAAAGTAATGGGAATTAGACCTAAGACAATTCCAAATAGAAATACTTTAATCATTTCATTTTTTTTATAGGGAAAAAGGAGAGGAAATTGACCCAGTTAGGAACTATAGAGTCTCTGAATACCACATAAAGATTTATTTTTATGCGATGTGTTCATTCAATTACTTTCAAATAAATAGTATCTTGGTGAGGCCAATAAAGAGAGCTGATATTATAATTAAAGCTGCTAGTAGAAAATCGAAATAATTAGTTATAGTAAGCATAAAGATGAAGGAGCTAAATGAAATGTGTTCTTTTTATACACATGTTTATAAAAGCACATCCCTAAGCTTCAAGATACGAAGATAAGTATAATTAGAGCGCGTGTAGCAACCATTATGTTCCCGGAAGCTAATTCTGTTCAGAAATAATTCTTTTTTATTCCCTTTCCGGGAATAATTTCTAAGCATTTGAAGGCGTTTGGTAACTACCCAAAATTTCTATTATTGGAATAGAAAAAGAGCAGAAATGCGTTTGGTAACTGTAAAAAATTTCTTTTTATTAATAATATTTTAGTAATATTTTGAATTTTTTTATATTTCTTTCTTTTTTTTTTCTTTCCCTTCCCCTTCCTTGGCCATGGCCGGCGACCGGCCATAGGCCAGGGCCGACGAGGGCATCGTAGACCTCGCCTGATTTAGCGAGGGCTAGACCCTTGCCGCCACCCTCACCAGATATGCCGAGGGCGACTAGCGGCCTAGGCGAGGGCTACCCTCGACGGCCTGGGAGAGGGTCACCCTCGCCAGATCCGGTGAGGGCGGCCCTTGCCCAGGTCGCGAGCCGCCCTTGCTAGATCCGGTGAGGGCGGCAGTGAGGGTTGCCCACGCTAGCTCTGACAAGGGCGGCCTTTGCCCTCACTGGCGGCAGGCCAGAATTGAAGAAGAAGAAGAAACCAAGGAGAAAGAAGAAAACTAAGAAGAAGAAGAAGAAAAGAACAATTCTTTTCCATTTCTGATTCTTGTTCCCAGAATCAAGAAGCTACTTTTTTTTACTTTTTGATTTTGTTTTAAAACTGATTGTGGGAACAAATTTTTGCAAATTTGTGCCTGGAAACAAAAAATTTACCAAATGAATTTCTGTTCCAAAACTGATTCTAAGAACAAAAGAACATAAATAGTTACTATTTGGCAACTTGCCAAACGTGCCCTTACCAATTCAAATGAAAGAATAAGTTTAATTTACAGTTGTTAATTCATCAAACAATATAAATGGGATTAACAAAAACATAGAGTGAAGGAGATGGAAAAAGAGATCAATTAATCATTTGTAACATTTATCTATCTCTTCATTTTGAATCAAGGATTCGTTAGACAATTCTTGAATGGGACTAATAATAAAATACAAAAATAATAAGAATTTTGAATTATTAATATAATAATAAGAAATTTGAATCCATATAGAACAAAATTCAAAAATCATTTCTCTCTTTTTTTAATCTTTTCTTTAATCGTATCTAATCTATTTTTCGATTTTAGAATAGAGAGTGACATTATGAGAAGACCACCTTTTTTTTTTCCTTGTCACTTGAGATATGATGTGAATGAACCTACAAGGCTGCTACTGAATTTAATAAGTAAACATAAGTGCTTCACAATTAGGTCATGTCGAGCCAACGGGCCATCTGCCTCGGCCCAATCGCCCCCTATTCTATTGCGACCCGAAAAATCACACCTTCAATTGATTGGATTTCCGCCTAAAAACATTATTAAAGCGGTTCCACGATTCTATGAAAAAATGGATTCTCGTCCAGGTCGTAAATCCATATAATTCTTCGCAGCTTTTATATGAATTTAAAAAATATATGCTTACCAAGTGAAATTTATATATTTTTAATTCGACGATCATCGACATCGAGCTAGTTGGACTTCGTACTCGCCCCGACCATTTTGCACTTATTCGGGGGGAAGAAAAAGGTCGAGAGCCGATGAAAGAGGTCGTCATTAAAGTCCACAAGATGGACGGTCCTGATCAGTCAGTTGACCAGGCCACACGGTAGTCCTTCCGCCCCGCCCCGATCAAACCCCGCGCGAAATTTGAATCGCTTCGCACCTTTTCACGAAGCCGACAAGACTCGCAGCAGTGACCTCCCGAACATCCGCGAAATTCGAGATTTAGAGAGAGAGAGAGAGAGAGAGAGAGAGAGAGAGAGAGAGAGATGAAGAGGAAGAGCGGGAAGCGAACCGGTGGCCGCGCCGGCGGCGGCGGGAGGTGGAGCGCCGCCGAGGCGAAGGGGACAGCGGCGGCGGAGAGCTGGGAGGCCCAGCTAGGGCAGGTGTCCCTCCTCTCTCTCCACCCCGACCACCATCGCCGCCAACCTCCTTCCGCTGCCAATCCCAAGCCCTCTCTCCTCCCGAGCCTCCTCGAGCCCGATCCCTCGCTCCACTCCGCCTCGGCTCACGACGGCGAGGCCGGCGCCGGCGCCGGCGCCGATTGCATCCTCAGCCAGGATTTCTTCTGGTAATCGACGGTGCCCTGTGTGCCTGTGAAGCTGATTTCTGATTTCTTTCTCTTTGGCTTTATTGGCTTCGTTTGGAGTTCGATCGATGGGTTTATGTGAGGAGCTGGCGGTTCCGTTTTTAACTTTTCTTTTTGGGGGTTGGGGGAAGCGCGGAGGGCTTAAACGCCACGAATAGTGTCGTATTGTGTGGTTGCTTGACGGAGATGCACGTTGGATTTGAAAGTAGCATCTTTGTATTACGTTGGAATTAGCAAATGCGCTTTTAAGCTGTTGTGAAAGAACGAAGTTGGAGGTAAACATCACCGCCGGTGAAGCGGAATTTGACAATGAAGACAAAAATGTGGAAGTTAGGCCTGGTTTTGTGTGTCGATGTATTTACTCTGCTTTGAGCAGAATAAATGGGGTTCGTTAACTTCGAGTTTTCCTCGACAACTTTGTTTTGTGTTGTCTTTGTTGTGGATGCAGTACTCCGGATTATATCACCCCGGACAATCAAAATTTAGTGAACGGCTTGGATTATAACAAGGTAAGGTAGATGTGATGTTGTTCTCTGCTTTGTCTGACTTTGATGTGATATTCTTGGCATGAATTTCCCCATCCTATCCATGCAGGACAATTGCCCTAAATCACCGGAGAAACTTAATTCGACTAAGACCAAAAGGTTTCGGCAAGGTATGTTTTAGCTGCGCCGTTGATGCTCTTGAAAATTTTTCGTTTCTCATGTTAGTAACTCGAATAGATTTCTTTAGATGCCCGAAATATTATTGTAAATCTGTTAACATGTTTGAGGATTCTGGGCAATCATGAGGAATGCATTGGCCTCTTTGTCAATGGCCCTCACGAGCAGGATCATGAATAATTATCGGATGTAACGGAATGCCAGGTTATTACACTTGGGATAGACTGTGAATCTAAAGCTTTTGTCAGGGTCGAACAAATAGACGAAAATTTTTCTCCTTGATGGGGTCGTCTAATAGAATAGCTGGATTCTACTCAGCTGGTTTAATCATTCAGCCGTGTCACACCTTAGATGGACGTTTTTTCTTTTTTGAACCAATCAGTAGGGAATATAGCTAGATAAATCTTCTCTATAAGTATCGTGATCTTTAGTATGCATAATTAAGCAGGCGAGTGGTTGATGTGAATTGGAATGTATGAGATAAATGTTGACTTGATTTTCTCTTTGGGGGATAATTCTCTAGATTTGTGGAGTTTGTGGGTAATTTATCAATGATAGTATTGAGAGAATTTTTTTAGCGTACCCTGTATTATTTGCTACGAATTCGATCAAGCCTTTGAGATCCATATAATCACCTGAAATTGTTTATCTACCTCTTTAAAGGTCGATCATTTTAATGATGATGCTAGATCAGATTTTGTGCTTCTGCGATTGGAAGAGTATGGATCATGTGCTTTTATATGTAATGCATAATGATTATGATAACATTATGGGAGTTGCAAAGAGCGGGATCCTCCATCCAATTTCTCTTGCTTGAGCAAGTCAAAGAATGTTCATGGAAAGTGATCATTTGAGGGACTGAATCGAGATATTACACCGAAGTGTTGGGCACATTCATGTCGAGACATCATAGCCACTTGATATATCTGATCACTGTTTCGTGTGTTCACACTTTTCCTAATTGTCAATGCCCATTTTTGAGTAGTTTTGATTCAATTATCTGCATGCGCCTACAGATAGCACATAAACAAAGATATACAGTTTAGCTCTTATCGGTCATTTCTCTTATTGAAATTTCCGATTGTCATAATTGTTATCTGTAGTACTTCAAATTTGAGGAAATTTGAGGTGTTTACCTTTGTGACTTTCGTCAGATCAAGTTACCGTGAATCCTCAAAGTCCCATTTTTTCTGGAAGTCAGCAAATAGAGGATCTTACAGAGGATACTTTGGAAACTGAAGAAGCTATAATTGAGAAAAAAGTATCAAATGGCAAGCAGCAGATACACAGTTATGTCCCACAGTCTGCCATTGCTTTACGCTGTAGGGTCATGCCCCCTCCTTGCATTAGAAACCCATATCTCAATGATGCATCAGAGACTGACATAGATCCTTTCGGAAATCAAAGGTCCAAATGTGCTGGTATGTGTATATTGCCTGTTAGTTATTGATTCATGTGGCATGTACGAATTATAATCATAGTCTTCTAAATTGTGCATTCTATATATGCCATATCTTTAGAAAATAAGAAGATAAATTGATAATGAGAAATTGTGAATGGTTTGTTCGCTGTTTCAGTTAAGACGTTTATGTATGTTTATTGTTATGTGACTATATGCAGGCTTATTCTCTTCTATTACCGGAGGAGATGGTCTCTCACGGTACCACACCGATTTCCATGAAATTGAGGTCTCTATTCCAAATTAAAGCCTTTTGCAAATATAGTATATAGCTATTCTTTACTACACAGAAATTCAAGTTTCTTTGGATTGACTTGTTAATTTGCAAATTCTTCCCAGCAAGTTGGAGCTGGTAACTTCAGCCGTGTTTTGAAAGTTTTAAAGAGAATAGACGGTTGCTTGTATGCTGTGAAGCAAAGCATCAGGCCATTGTATCAAGATTGGGAAAGGTACTTGTCTCGCTGCTTTCAGACATTCACCACTTATTTGAACAGAATATGATACCCACTGTATTGTAGGAGAAAAGCTTTGATGGAAGTACAATCTTTGGCAGCTTTAGGTATCAATGCCGGTTTCATTACCTCAATTTTGTATTCTGCTGCATGATTTTCTCTAATAATCTTGGCATGTTTGTTACAGGCTCTCACGAGAACATTGTTGGATATTACTCTTCGTGGTTCGAAAATGAGCATCTTTACATTCAGATGGAGCTCTGTGATTACAGCTTATCTAGTCAGAAGTATAAACGTTTAACCGAATGTGACGCCTTGACAGCTCTATATCAGGTTAACCACAAGTTTATGTGATGATGGCAATTTATAATGATATAAATGGCCTTTATTAAGTTATTCTATCAAGCAACCCATGATGCTAAGTTCAATGGCATTCAGAATTAAGGATTGATCCTCAAGTATTAGGTTCACTTCGTAAGCAGTAAAGTTGTCACTTCAATTTTGAATATGCAGTGAAAGAAAAGCAGTTTTTTTGAATTTTTATTTTTGCTTGTTAAAGAGTCGAACCTTAAAGCTTCAATCTTTAGGGGGAAGGTGATACATGTCGAAGATCAATAGAAATCTTGTAGACACGTAATGCTGGATAAATGTGCATCTACGTTCAGTTGCAGACCGGAAGAATTAAAAGTGGGAAATATGTCTAGCATGTGTGAGTGTAAAAATGGAGAATAAGATGGAAAACTTGCTTAAATGGGGCCCACTACATCGTTTGTCCATGAGGTTTTACTGGTGTTCTTTGCATGCACTTTTCCACTAAATATTTTAACTATTCAAGTGGGATTCTTCACTTTGGGTTTATGATTGTTTCAATCATGATCACATCCCATCCGGTCATCCATCATATATAATTCATCATACTTGCATAGAGTGGGGATTTTAGGTGCTCATATTACTCAAAAGAATTTAAAAGTGGGATTTATGATTGTGGCACCTCCTTTCCAAACGATTGGTTTAGTTACAAAAAATGAAAGTAAAAAAGTTCTTCCTTCTTGGAAGAGTACACAGACTATCCACTTCCTAGTATAGGATTTGGGTGACCAATGGCTACGTGAATGCTATTGATGAGCTTCCATGAGATATAGTATTTGTGACTTTCTATCGTACTGTGGTTCACAAATCTTCAATTATTTATAAGATGTTTTCGGGTTATCACTTATTCAAGTATCTCAATGATCAAGTCCTGGATAATGCAGTGAGAGTGCAATGGAAATTTGGGCTAAAGCTCCTTTCCTTATTACATATATAAAAGACCATCTTCATTTCCTTTGACAAGATATAGTGGCCTATTATGGATTTTATTTTTCGTAATCTTTGTCATGAAGGTTAATGGTTTATCTTCATGATTTACACTTGCTAATGTCAAAATACCTGCAGCTTGCGAAAGCATTGCTTTTTATGCATGACAGAGGAATTGCCCACCTTGATGTTAAGCCGGATAATATTTATGTCAAGAATGGTGTGTACAAGCTTGGTGACCTTGGTTGTGCGACTCTCCTTAATAACAGCCTACCCGTTGAGGAGGGCGATGCACGGTATATGCCTCAGGAGATCCTGAATGACAATTTTGATCATCTTGATAAGGTTGATATATTTTCCTTGGGAGCTTCTATATATGAGCTTATAAGAGGGTCGCCTTTGCCGGAATCTGGGCCTCAGTTTCTGAATCTTAGAGAGGGAAAGCTGCCCCTTCTCCCTGGCCATTCACTGCATTTCCAGAACTTGCTGAAGGTACCGTTTCTTCGTTTCTTTCAATGGGACTTGTGTTGTTTTGTTTTTTGCTTTTGGGGAAAACCGTTGATTTTGTGGCTTTCTGATGTTCTTGACTTCTGCAGGTCATGATGGATCCAGATCCAACCACCCGGCCTTCTGCAAAAGAACTGGTGGCTAATCCAATTTTGGACAGGATTCGGAGGAATGGAAAGATTTAAGCCATGACAGTAATCGGATTTCAACCACGAACATAAATAATTAATTGCAGGCACTGAATGTATCAGTGACCATTCGGGGTGAAGTTGAATACGAAGGTATTAGGAAAATCGAGTGCCAATTTTGCTTTTTATTCTTTGGCTGGTATGTGCACCAATTTTTGTGCTGCAATGGTGCTGGATCGGTAAATGGGAACGGCACTAGCAAATGGTGTTGTAGGCCCGACCCCAAGCTAAGATATGCCGTGTAATTGAAAAGCCATGTTCATCCCAGAGTCCGATTATCCTTTGCTATCTGCCATGAAGAATCTGTGGGTGCTTGCTGTTCCTAATGTTGATATAATTCATTCCAATTGTACAGACATCAGCTTTAAGCTTTGAACCAGTTATTTGATCTGTGGGAAGTCACCTATTTCATCTTTCTTGCAGCATGCTCAAGTGTTCAGTCGTAATTCTTGCTCAACGATTCTTGCTTTTGGAGTCGCTGGTATCTACAGAACCAATCGAGTTGTCTAGAGCTGTCCGGTCCTGGCACCAAAAGAAAAAATCCTGTTATCCTAGAAATGATGAGCTTGTCCTGGCGTAATCATTTTCTATGTTTTCATTTCTTAAGACTATGTCAAATCACTTTTGCAATACAGTGAGATTAGAATTAGACACGAAATTGTCGTGCAAGTTAGTGATTGAACAGTAAAATAGGCGAAGTATTTTTAGTAATCCCTAAGAAGGATGCCTCACATATTGGTAGCTGACGTCTATTGCATATTTTCATGAGGCTTGAGATGGAAATGTTATGATAATACTTAAATTCTCAGTGAAAAAATTAGGCACGGTTTTTTCAGGAACGAGACAAAGTACGAGGACTAAACCTAGTCACCTTGCGCATGGTGATCGATGTTACAATGGAAGATTTCAGTCGAACGAAAGCGGGTGGAAAGATCCAACGTCTGGCCGGGGGCATAATTTGATGAAAAAAGAAAGTAAGGGGACGAGAAACGCGCTCCCCAAAAACCAGAAGGACCAAACTGCAAATCTACACCGCAAATTATTGCTGGCAATGATCGTGCAATCTGCTTTAATGGTCCTCAAAGGAACGCTTTTGACAATGCCCACGCGTCTGGGACCGTCCATTAATCGGTAATTAATCTTTAGTCCTCCGGTGGAAACGTCATCGATGCCTTAATCAAAACATGGGTCGGTGATTAGATGCTGGTCAACAATGATGGAGACTCCCGAAGAGATTTCCACGCACGCCATGACTATCAACAGCTCGAGATTATACTAATAAGCATGCGGCCCTCTAGTAAAGGGATTGAAAGGTAAGGTCGTAAAATACCAGGTTCGAGATTCGATTCTCGTGAGCGCAAATATACATAATAGAGAGGAGTGAGACCAAAAAAAAAATAAGCACGAGATTCTCTCTCCTCTTTAGCCGAGAAAGCTAGACACCGAGAAATGCGCACAGTACAAAGTTGAATTGGTTGATCTCTCTTGATTTGTGGATGATTAGTATATAGAGAGATCTCTCTCTATCATAATTAGCAGTGGAGACCAAGGATACTATATCCTTCAAAGTACAATTATTTTATATTGTGAGGCCCATTATGAGTCCAAAATTTATTCATCCGAAGCGGACTTTCTCGTCATAAAAAAAAAAGGGTAAAGTTGCCCCGCCCCCACCTCCCCCCACCCAATAGGAAGACTTGTTAAGCATACTTTATTTAGAGTAATTCAATTTTGAAAGTACTGATTATGCATAATGCGAGATGATAAGTATATCAGAAATTGTAAAGTTTCCTTAATTGGTTGCTTTAACAAGTCGCCCGTTAAACAAAATCCAATAAAAATTATGAGGGTAACTCTTGGGTAAGAGATGATGATCGGGGAAAAACGACTACCCCGACAAAGTATACAAAGGGAAGATAACAAAGGACCATCTCAAATGAGTAAACTTCATGTAATGACTAAACAGGGTGCATAACAATGAGGAACTTCTAGGTATTTATTATACAGAAGAAAAAAAGATAACTTAGCAACAATATTGTCGAATTCCTAATCTAGATTAAAAGCAATTAATCCTAAATACACTTAAAACAAACTTGCAAATAATGATAATATCCCACATCCCTATCCCTATAATTCTCATAACAGTACTTTTTCAGTTTGCTTTATGAAGTCTCTTCCTCACTTCCTTCTGTAACCGCTCGATTTTCCGAGCCTTTTCTTCGGCATCTTCACTGAATAGGGGGCTCCCATGGTGGTAAGATCCAAAAGAGTTAACTGGTGCTACTCTCCATACACAGCTTCAAATGGTCATTTTAGAAACTATCTGAAGAAGTCCCCATCTCCCTCTCGTTTCGTCGATTCAATGGATGAGTTATCGACTCACTAAACATTTTGTCGGTTTTAATGATTGTCGATGATTGGCTACCTCGTTATCGATGTCGATGTCGTTCGGCTCCCAAGATTGGTGTACGAATTGTGAAGATTCTTTTATTGTAATGTTGCTTTCAAGAGTCTATTTTATGTTTAGTTTAATGTTTTGTAAATTTCTAGGAATCTATCTTCTCGGAATGTTAGATATATTTATGAGTGATTTAAGATTAAGATTAAGAGTTATGTAACAAGCCTATATAAAGGCAAGTCTTCTTGTAATTTCTTAATGGGGCGAAATATAAAGAAAGAAAACAAAAGAGTCTATTCGTCTTCTTTTCTTCCTTAAGTTTGCTGTTCCTCTATAGTTCGACACTATCCTCGATGTACTCGGGTTGAGCCAATAACAAATTCCACTGTAGAACATGTTCTCATATAAATCTTCTTGTGACAAGTTACCTGATTTCTCGATAAGGCAAATCTGGCTCCATCGAGGGAAGACGGACCCGATTCTGGTCTTGTCGAGTTTGGCTGAGCTAGGAGACTAAACCCAGGCGGCATCTGATGGTGTTGCGGTGGTGTCGGTTTGAAGGGGACGAGGTTGACGTCGCGAATCGTTTGGTTCTTTTTGAAAGAGTCGAGCCATCCGTCTACTCAACCAAAAATACGTGATATGAAAGACATTTTTTGATGGAAGATGGTAAGTGTATATACCATTTTGTGTGTTTGTCATTGGTTGAATTGGTTGAATGGATGCTTGATGTGGTCATTTCGAGTAACTTAAAAAGGCCACTGAAGATAGTCGAGGGGGACAAAAGTGAAACCAACTGCTCCGAGTTGTTGGAAGATAAGAAGAAAACTTCGTTCATCCCAAAAGTTTATGAAAGAATTAATTCACCAAAGACATTCTCCAGATTCATCCCCAATCTTGCGTCAGCGCCTGCCTGATTTCTCTGCTCGTTCATACTGACTTCTCTTTTGTAATTACTCTAGCTTTTTGAGAGAAGAATTTGTCCATATGTGGGCACATTAGTTTTGCATGTGTGAATGCAACGCCCATCATCTTCACCTACTAAGAACCTCGTCCTCTGCAGAACTGATTGCCATCACCTTCTCTCTACCCATTCCTCCGCCTCTGCAGCCCGCCTCCGTGCGTGCGTGCGTGTCTTTACGACTTGGAGAGAGAGAGTGAGAAATGTCGGGAGACGTGGTGGAGCAATCCCGGGAAGACGAACGCCCACGAGCCGAGAGAGCTGCTCCGTTACCAGAGAAACTTAATACGACTAAGAGCAATGGATTTCGGCAAGGTATGTTTTCGTTGCGCTGTCGATGCTTCTCATAGAGGTTTTCTTTCTCACATGCCAGTAGCTCGAAACGAATTCGTTAGGCACCAATTAACATGGATTGTGGGCAATCATGAGAATGCAGTGGCCTCATTGTCAATGGTCCTGGCGGGCAGGATCATGAATAACTGTAGGACGTAAACGGAATGTCGGGTTCATACACTTGGGATAGAAAGTGAATCTAGAGCTTTTGTCTCGGTCCAGCGAATAAATGAAAAATTATTCTCCTCGGTGGGTTCCTCCAATGGAATAGTTGGACTCTACTCTGTTGGTGTATTCATTCAACCATGTCACTTATTAGATGGACATTTCTCCTTTTTTGAACCAAATAATTGGGAATACGGCAGCTAGACAGATCTACTCTATAAGTGTCATCATTTTTAAGTATGCATAATAAAGCAGGTGAACGGTTCATGTGAATTGGAATGTGTGAAATGAATGTTGTCTTGGTTTTCGCTTTGGGGGATGATTCTCTAGATTTGCAAAGTTTGCGGGTTATCTAATCAATGATAGTATCGAGAAAGTTTTTTCATTGTAAGCTGTATCCTTTCCTATGAAGTCAACGATGATGCTAGATCAGGTTTTGTGCTTCACAATCTGTGGAGTCTTGTTTTAATTTTGAGGGATCATATGCTTTTATATGTAATGCCTCAAGATTATGATAGTAACTTCATCGAAGTTTGCAAAGAGCTAGAGCCTCCAGACAGGTTCTCTTGCTTGAGCAAGTCAAAAAATATTGAAGGAAAGCGATCATTGTAGGGACTGAATCAATGTATTTTACCGAAGTCTTCGGCACATGCTTATTGAGACATATCATAGCCACATGATAGATTTGATCACGGCTTTGCTTCTTGTGTTCAAACTTTCTACGTTGTCAATGCCCATTTTTGAGTAGTTTTGATTCAACTTTTTCATCTCCATGCACCTATGGCACAGCACATAAGCAAAGATATACACTTTAGCTCTAATCAGCCATTTCTCTTCTTGATGTCAAAATTTCCTGCTGTCATAGTTGTTATCTGTTAGAAGTTCAAACTTTGAGGTGTTTATTTTTGTGACTTTCCTCGGATCAAGTAACCTTGAATCCTCAAAGTCCAATTTTTCCTGGAAGTCAAACAAATAGAGGATCTTGCAGAGGATACTTTGGAAACTGAAGATGCTAAAATGGAGAAAAAAGTATCAAATGGTATGCAGCAGATACACAGTTATGTCCTACAGTCTTCCATTGCTTTACACTGTAGGGTCATGCCCCCACCTTGCATTAGAAACCCATATCTCAGTGATGCGTCAGAGACTGACGTAGATCCATTTGGAAATGAAAGGTCCAAAAGTGCTGGTATGTCTATAATCAAATCTTCTAAAACTGTGTATACTATTTATGCCATGTCTTAAAAAAAGGACAAATTGATAATGAGAAATTGCTAATGATTTGTTCGGTGTTTTGTTTAAGACATTTATTTACATTAATTGTTTAACAGATGCGACAATATGCAGGCTTATTCTCTTCTGTTACTGGAGGAGATTGTCCCTCACAGTACCACACCGATTTCCATGAAATTGAGGTCTCCATTCAAAATTAAAGTATATAGTATATTGCCCCTCGTTACTATACTGAAATTCAAGTTTCTTTTGGCTTGACTTGTCAATTTGCTAACTCTTCCCAGCAAATTGGAGCTGGTACCTTTGGTCGTGTTTGGAAAGTTTTAAAGAGAATAGATGGTTGCTTGTATGCTGTAAAGCAGATCATCAGGCCATTGTGTGAAGACAGAGAACGGTATTTGTCTCATGCACTGCTTTCAGACATTCACCACTTATCTGAACAGCATGATATCCATTGTGCAGGATAACAGCTTTGATGGAAGTACAATCTTTGGCAGCTTTAGGTATTAATGCTGCTTACATTATCCTCAATTTTGTATGTCTGCTGCAACATTTTCTCTGATAATCATCTTAGCATGTCTGTTACAGGCTCTCACGAGAACATTGTTGGATATTACTCTTCTTGGTTCGAAAATGAGCATCTTTACATTCAGATGGAGCTCTGTGATTACAACTTGTCCAGTCAGAAGTCTTCACTTTTAACCGAATATGACGCACTGACAACTCTACATCAGGTTAACCACAAGTTCATATGTTAATAGCAATGTCTTATGATATTAATGGCCTTTATTAAGTTACTTATATCAGCCAATCCATGAAGCAATGGTCAATAGCATTTAGAATTAAGGATTGATTCTAGCGCTAAATGAGCATAGTCTCCTCTCCTATAGTAGTAGGGTCATTTCATAAGCAGATTCCACATTGTTACTTAAATCTTGAATATGCAGTGGCAACAAAAGCATTTTTTTCAATATTTATTCGCAATTGTTAAAGAGTCAAACCTCAAAGCTTCAATCTTTAGGGGGAAGGTGATATGTGTTGAAGATCAATAAAATTCTTGTGGACATGTAATGCTGGATAATTGTGTGTTTGCCCTCCTTTGCAGACTGGAAGAACAATAGTTGGAAATATGTCTAGCATGTGTGAGTGTAAAAATGGAGAATAAGATGAAAAATCTTGCTTGAATGGGGTAACACTACATCGTTTGTCCAAGAGGTTTTACTGGTGTTCTTTGCAGTCATTATTCTACTAAGTATTTTAAGCATTTACCTGGGAAAGCAGGCTATAGCTCCTTCCCTCCTTATATATGTTAAAGACCACCTTCAACTTCAATTCCTTGGATAAGATATAGTGGTCTATTGTTATAGATTTTACTTTTATAATCTTGTCATGAAGGTTAATGTTTGGTCCCCATGATTTACCATTGCTAATGTCCAAATACCTGCAGCTTGCGAAAGTATTGCTTTTTATGCATGACAGAGGAATTGCCCACCTCGATGTCAAGCTGGATAACATTTATGTCAAGAATGGTGTATACAAGCTCGGTGATTTTGGTTGTGCGACTCTCCTTAACAACAGCCTACCCGTTCAGGAGGGTGATACACGGTACATGCCTCATGAGATCCTGAATGAGAACTTTGATCATCTTGACAAGGTTGATATTTTTGCCTTGGGAGCTTCTGCGTTTGAGCTTGTAACAGGGTCGACTTTGACGAAGTCTGGGCCTCAGTTTCTGAGTCTTAGAGAGGGAAATCTGCCTTTTCTACCTGGCCATTCACTGCATTTCCAGAATTTGCTGAAGGTGCTGTGTCTTCGTTTCTTTCAATGGGACTCGTCGTTTTCTTGTTCGCTTTTTTGGAAAGATCCATTAACCCGGTAGCTTTCCAACGTTCTCGACTTCCTCAGGTCATGATGGATCCAGATCCAACTGCCCGGCCTTCTGCGAAAGAACTGGTGGCGAGTCCAATTTTCGACAGGATTCGGAGGAACGGAAAGACCTGAGCCAAGACAGTGATTCCAACTATGAACACAAATAACTAACTGCAGGTGCTGAAGGTATCAGTGACCATTCAGGTAAAGTTGACTACGAAGGTATCGGGGAGATCCTGTGCCGATCTTGCTCTTTATTCTTTGGCTAGTACGTGCACCAATTTTGTGATGTAATGGTGCTGGATCGGTAAGCGGAAACATCAGTGAAAAGGCGTTGTAAGCATGACACTAAGGGAAGATATGCCGTGCAATGGAAAAGCCATGTTCATCTTTGAGTCCGAATATCATTTGCTATCTGCCATGAAGAATCGGTCGGCGCTTGCTGTTTCTACTCTTTATACAGTTCATTTCAATTGTACTGTCATCTACTTCAAGCTTTGAACCAGTTGTTTGATCTGTGGGAAGTCATCCATTTCATTTTTCTTGCAGCATGCAAAAGTGTTTAGTCATAATTCTAGTTCATTGACTCTGGCTTTGTTGTGCTAGTATGGGCTTTGTCTTTGCACAAGTCTTCTGCATCCGGACGAGGAGGGTGCTCCCTACTCATTCATTGAGAAATTATGTTCTACTTTTCATTTCACTAGATTATGTCAATCACTTCGTAAGACAGTTATTTAAATTAGTCGCAACAACAAAAAGGTTTAGACCACCAAAAAAAATAGTAAACTAGTTTACCCGTGCTGCATTTATCCTAAACTAATTTTCACATCACAAAAAATCTCAAACTGGTGACAAATCTTCCATCCGCCCACTTCTGTCCAATATCATCTTAAATTGCTAACTTGAAAACACACGGGGGCAAATAACTGGGATGATTGGCGTGTGACGTGGAAATTCAACATAAATGAGTCTCTTAAATGAAGTCATTTTGGAAAGTCAGATCTCAAGAAAATGAACTGAGTTGGGAAATCTGCTAATTATACCCAATTTTGCCTAAGATTTTGCTGATTTCTGATAGAGAAAAGGAACATATTCAATTGTGCCTTAATTCTTAATATCAATTCAATTTCTTCAAATCTGGCTTGTCAAAACGGCATTTTATTAGTGGAGACTCATTTATGTTGAATTTCTACGTCAAATCTACGTCACATGCCATTCATCCAAGTTGTTTGAAACTTTTTAAATATGAAATTTTTTTAAAATAAGTGTGGCATGAGTGTACCAATATTTGGTTTTTTTTTTTTTTGGTAGTATTGTCCCAAGAGATAACACAAAATCCCACAGAAAAAAACAGAGGTCCAAAGTAATTGCTAGGTAGGCACTAGTTTACACACCTTCCCATGGAGGCACTAGTTTTCAGTGGCACTAGTCATGCGGCAATCAATTGTACTCAGAGAAGTCTAAGGTGACCGACCACCTACCTCATGTCTAATTGAAGCAACATGTTTGCCCTTCTTCGGGCAAAGGACCCTCCACCTCCATTAGAATTGCAAAGAAGAGACTGCCCTTTCTGAGAAACGCAAATTGATGAACCTCCTGTGAGTGCAAAGAACCTTTTTTTTTCAATGCCTCCCTCCCACCAAATTGATTTAGGTAAAAAATAAATTTATGCAGAATATGACACCACTTGCAGGCATGGCGTTTGATTGCTGAACCCTATCTATCTGGGCAATGCCTACCTATGACCATACGCTCCGGTTCGATGCAGATTTCGCTTACTGGCTCAAACTTGAGGCATGTCCTAACGATCTCTATTTTAGGCATGATATTTGGGTCAGGTCACTGCTACTTTTCCATAGCTCCTCACGGGGGCTCAATCATTATAGAGATCTTCCAACTTCAAGCCGCGCTTGAATTTCATTATGACCGCGGACCTCATCAAGATATCAACTCTACCTGAAATTTGAACCGCTCCATAAGGATTTGCGAACACAACCCTCTCTACATGCAACTTGAATTGCTTCATAAGGATTTGTGAACACAACCCTCTTCATCACAGATTAAATAAATTACTAGTACATCCATATCTATCCGTTACTGGATGCACCCTCTATCGAATTGAGTAGGTATAGCAAAAGATAGCATTATAGGCTCCACCTCGTCATAAGCACCACATGTGGCATTAGTCGTGCGATAATTAATCGAAATTAAAGAAGGCTAAGGCCATCGCGTCCTCCCTAATGCGCCATTGAAGCGACATGTTGTTTCGCCTTTTTTAGACAAAGAACCCTCCGCCTCCGTTAGAGTTGCCATGAATCTCCTATAATTCTAGGAACATTTAGTAAATGCCAACCTCCGACCCAATTGATTTAAGGTAGAAATAGAAATGAATGCAGAATATGACAACTTGTAGAGGCACGGTTTTCAATTGCTGAACCCTCGCTATCTAGCGACGGCTGACCTGCATTGGACAAATTCGGAAAGTAGACGCTTGTAACAATCACTTTCGGGTCTAGAAAAGCAAGGGACATTAGACTTTCGGAAATTAATACATTTTTTAGAGTCCAACTTTGGTCTTCGTATTTGGTTTTGTAACAATCCTAATTCCTATACTAGTGTGTTATGGCAATTTAAGTCTTTTTTATTGTCGAATTTCATTGTAAAGTTTAAAGAAAAGTGCATAATCAACATGCACAAATTGCAATCCGTTCCGAATGGAGAGTGCTAAGTTTGCATCAACCATTGAAATGCAGTGCCTATGCGTAAGAATTTCATAGGAAAATGACATCATCGGTCCACGTACTTTTGAGGAAATTTTAGGTTTCGTTTATTTCGCGAAAAATGAATGATTTGCTATAAATGATCGTTTATCTCGTTTGAAATAATTAGTCAATAAAAAAATACTTCTATTATCGACAATAATCATACCTAAATATTTTCGTACATGATGAACATATTTTTCGTACACTAAATTTTGTAAGCGATACAATATATCATTTTTAGAAAAATATATTTCGAATTATTCATTTTTCGCGAAATAAACGAGCCTTTAGTACCTGTATCTATAACAAAACTAGTCCATGTATTATTGTCAAATTGATCTCTCATTGAAATAAATTCCACTATGTACGGTTCTTTTTTCAGATGAACAAATTTCTCGTTCGATGTCCCAACTAGGCATACACTGTACTCTCTTTTTCAACGAAGAAGGTGCGAAGTCATTCTCTTGAGTTTTAATTCTTCAATTGAAATTTGGACGGAAACCGTGGGTGGTGGTGGGGGGGAGAAAATGTGAACTAAAATTAAAACAAAAAGCGAAGTTTCTGACCACTTGCCGGATCAATTGATGGGGAGCAGCAGCCTTTCAGGAATACTTTAAACACGCTGCCCCCAACACTTGTCTTCAAGCGCTTTGTCTTCGACCTTGGTTCACAGCTGACGTGGCGCATTGACGTCGCTAGTCTAGCAAGAGGTACTTTAACTTTTCACCGGGGGCACAATTTGACAATTAAAGAAAGTGGGGGGGGCACGAAACGTGCTCCCGAAGAAACTGGAAGGGCCAAAGTGCAATTTTTCCAAGAATTTTTTTTAAGGAATGCTGTGCGTCTATTATTGCTGGCAATGATGCTCGCACATGCTTGCCACAAAGTCACAAACTAGATAAAATGAAGTATCTATTAGGCTGTCGGTGTCCTCGTCTGTCAGTGTCCTCGTTTAAGCACGACAAATTCCAAAATGTAATTTCGAATACTTAAATCGACGGTCTCCCATTTATTAGAATTCTCATCTCCAACTAAAGTTTGCCTGCCGCAATAAATAGAAAATTAAGCTGATAGACTTAGGCATAAATATATATTATTCTTTTATTTTTCCCCTCTTTGGGAAATAATTGAGAAATGCATCATACTTGGACGTCACGAACTTGGCAAAGCAGGTGCTTTGGGATGTAAAGAAAGAGCCTATGAATAAAATTAAGAGTCAAGTGCCTAGGCTAGGCTAAACATACTTAATTATATATTTTCTATAATCGGAAGAACTATCGGTCGCAGGGTATCCATTAATTAATCAATCAGAGTACGCAGCAGCATAACCAATCCTGGCACTTTGTTGGCCCGTTTTAAAAGGAAAAGAAAATTCTTGGCGGAGTAGAAAAATGAAAACTTTTGAAGAAAGCGGACATCGTAGCTTCTAGAAACTGGGAGATCACTTTAAAAACGGAAGTTATCAATAAGAATTGTTGAGTCATATGCTTATAAAAAAAAAATATTAATCCATTCCTTTGTAGCTTAAACTTTCAGGACAAACGTTTCGTGTAGAATAAAATTCACCGGGAGTGCCTTTATTTTTAATACTTTTTCCATCTGGGTAAGTATTATTACATATGTTATAAGTATATTGTCCCTCTGTTTCAAACAATATAAACTTTTAGGACCAACTGTCCATCTAACGGGAGCTACAACTAATAATATCTCATCTTAACAATAACCTCGCATGATAGAATCAAGGGGACGATGGAAGACATTAAGAACAGCAGCTTCAATGGCTTCTAAATTAGCAATCGCGATGAATCACGGGGGATTCAATCATCATAGAAAGACACAATGAACCATCTGACTAATAGTAATCATCAAGTTACTGTGGAAAAAAAAGGGGGTTTAGTTAACTAATCTGCTTGGTTTGCCCACCTAAGGAGCGTTAATTCGAAGCATATAGCACGGGATCTGCTCAATGGTCCCCAGAAGCAGATTGGTTGGTTCATCGGTTCTAGTCAACAATGATGCAGATTGCAGACTTCCTGAGACATTGGCATATCGCCCGTGACCATGACTACCAATAGCAGCACGACATTCTCACTCCCTTGGGAGTCGCAAATTGCCAAGACACCTAGCAAGTGGCGCGTAGTTCAAAGTTGAATTTGCACAGCTCCCTTGACTTTGGGGATGATTAGCATAAGGAGCGATGTCTCCATGCTATCCACGCTAATCAACCCAAAAACAACAATTATCTTTATATCATGGGATCATGAATCCAGAGTTTATATTGTCCGAACCCAACTTTCTTGTCATAAAATCGAATTGTGTGTTTTTAATAAGTGCCCTCGAAGCACTTGATAAGAATATTTTGATTTTCAAAGCATTAATTACACACTGAATACTGTGAAGTTAATTTAATTGGTTGCTTGATAAGTGTCCTTAAGACGCTGGTCGGTGAAATCTTATGTAAAGTTAGGCTCCGTTCGTTTCGCGAAAAATGTTACGTTTCTGAAAAATATTTTCTAGAAAGTCATTGACGCTGGTCGGTGAAATCTTATGTAAAGTTAGGCTCCGTTCGTTTCGCGAAAAATGTTACGTTTCTGAAAAATATTTTCTAGAAAGTCATTTTCCTGGAAAATGACACAATTTTCCGGTGTTCGGCTGAAATATGAAAAAGTTTTGGAAAATATTTTTCGTTATTTGGTATGGAAAAAATTTTCTTCCTTGCACTACTTTTAATAATTTTTTATTTTTATTTTTATTTTTTAAAATATTTTTAATTTTCTTTTTTTCTTTTTTTTTTCCTTCTTCTTCTTCTTCCTCAGCAGGTCGCCGGTCACAGGGGCGGCCGGCGATCGGCCAGCTCAAGCCTCGCCTGATTCGGCGTGGTCGAGCTTGCCAGATGTCGACGAGGCTTTGGCAACCTAGGGCGAGGCTCGAGCCAAGTTCAGCTCATCGGATCTGGCGAGGCTCGAGCTCTCCTGTGGTCGGTCGTTAGCCGCCGTGGCCGGCGACCGGCCGGAGAAGAAGATAGAAAAGAGAAGGAAAAAAAAAAAAATTTAAAATGAATGGTGAAAGGAGGAGGAGGGGAAGAGGAGAACATTTTTCTCAAAAGTGAAAGTGTTTTGCCCATTTCCTAGGAAATGTTTTTCGTGAGAAGTTATCTTCACGAACGGAGCAGTAGATGAACAAGATAAGTACGAGATAAGTACGCAACTAAGAGCAACGAGTTACTCGTTTTCCAAATCGGAAATTTATGAGAAACTTCTTTTGTCAAAAACGTAGCCACAGATTCAGCCCCCATCTTGAATCAGAACCTACCTCTCTACCTCCAGACGTCTGCGTTCCCACGCGTTCATGTTGACTTTTCTTTTGCAATTGCTCTAAACAGAAGAGAGGAAAAAACAGAAGAAATTTTACACGTGGGCCATGTTGGGTTTTCATGTATAAATACGACGCCCATCATCTCCATCTCCATCTCCATCTCAACGAAAACCTCGTCCTCGGCTGAGCTAATTGCCAACAGCCTTTTTCTCCACCTCGTTCCTCCGTCTCTCCCGCCCGCCGCCGTGCCTGCGCGCGCGCGCGTCTTTGCGACTTCGAGAGAGAGCAAGAGATGTCGGGAGACGCGGTCGAAGGGTCCCGGGAAGGCGAGAGCCAACAAGCGGAGACAGCTTCTCCGGGGCTCATCAACGGGAGGAAGCTCTCGACCCAAAAGTTGAGCAGATACGACTCTTTAGACGTCGAATCCGCTAAATACCCCGGTCAGCATCCTCATGGCTCCAAGCAAGTAAGTACGGATTAGGTTCCGAATATCGACCGTCTTTGCGCAGTTTAAACTTTCGAGCGAGTCCGATTCATTAAACAGTTTTGGCAAAAATGATAACGATAATGGTGTTTGAAGGTGGTGGAGTGGAGGGTGATACTAACCCTGGCGTTCCAGAGCATCGGGATAGTGTACGGCGACATCGGCACGTCGCCGCTCTACGTGTTCCGGAGCACCTTCACCGGGGGCATCAAGCACAACGATGACGTCCTGGGCGTCCTCTCGCTGATCCTCTACACCATCACCTTGATCCCTCTCATGAAGTACGTCTTCATCGTCCTGCGCGCCACCGACAACGGCGACGGTTAGTGAAACCTACTCATACGTATCTTCATACGTTTTGTCATGAGATTCCGCAATATTTTACGTTCACGTGTGTGAGTTATATTGGACTATATCCCAAACCCCAATGCTTAAGGTCAAACTCGTGCGCTAAAATTAAATAGAAATTACTACGCGCATCATACTGTCTTTTCAAAGTGATGGGGGGTTTTCTTGGATGTGTGATCATCTGATTCTTGATCGGTCGCATTCCTATGACACGTTAGTAGAACACAGCCTGCGTTGCCCGTGGCCTCTGTCGAGGCAAATAGACATCTGTGTTAGAAGAACAACATCTCTTCAAATCAAATACGTCTACAACCAACTTTGAACAAATAAAATACATCTTATAAAGTTCCTTTTTTTTTTGTCTCCGTGCGATATCTAGAATTCAAGATTCACTTGGTTCGACATTTTTCAGCCGAAATAGAAGAAAGTTTTGCAGGTTCTTGGGGTTACTGCAGCCAAAAAACGTGGGTCCGAACTTTTTGACCGGTCTCTATTTATTTATTCTTTCTTAAGGAAAAAGACAGAAACATGATCAGAGGGCTTCTGCTAATAGCAATTCATGACCAGAGCCAGTGTTCGATCTCCGTGGACGGTGGGGAAACGAAGTTCGACTTCGATTCTTTTGCCCCCCAGCTGAGATATTTGTTCAGTCAAAAGTCAAGAACCCATGACAATGATTGAGCATATTCTCTCTAAGTATAACCTGATGACCAAGACAACACGTTACGAATGTTTAAATCATTTAATCTCCCTCAAGGTTTCGTCTTCACGGCACGTAATGCAATATAAATACATCGTCGTTCCCTTTTGTTGGTTCAGATATGCTTGTGTTTCAAGGGATGTGAAACACCAACCCCGATCGCTGTAGCCGAAGTATATAGTAAATGAATAGGTGTCATATCGCTTGATAAGCCAAGATGGGCCACTTTTGTCAAGGGTTTCATGGACACGATGATGCCTGTCCCGTATTTTTCAGCAAACAAATTATAAAAGTTTTCGGTTCATGCAGCAAGATTTTTTGGTTTTTTGTTGAAACGTAAAGAGACAAAACCCATCCGGTGAGGACTTCGGCTAGTTCGGGTTCTATCTAGGGGCTTTCCTTTTGGCACCGCTTTCAAGAAAGATAGACATATGTGAACCCGAGAGTCTTCGAGTACTTGGAGTCACTCGTGATTAAACAGAATGATTATTTTTAGGATGCACCCTTTCTTCCCCTTTACTAGCTCTACTCTATAAAACTATAAAAGTGGAATTAGGAGTCCGTTTATCTAAAGAAAAATTATTTTCGAAAAATTATTTTCTGGCTTTTCGATGTTTGGACGACGAAAAACTAATTGATTTATGGAGAGTCTTTTTTATGGACTAAAAATAACAAGTTTGGGTTTGGAAAATGACTTTTTTTATGATAATGAAGAAAATATTTTCTAAATCTATCACTAAATAATTGAAAGCTAATTGTTTTTCTGTGCCATGAATTAGAAGGCTGTCAAGACATCGGAATGCGAAAACTATGAGTCATCTGCATAGTCTGTTAGAATTCAGCATGTCGGGTCATTCCAGAGCACATCCATAGGATTGGTCTTCTGAGTGATGCGCATTAAATGGTAAAGATATGAATAGTCGTCGACTCGTCGGTATCGATGGGATTCATTCGTTAAGGTCAGGGGGGCTTTTGTCTGGTTTTGGGATTGGTAAAAGTTCTGTCAATTAGTCAAAAGGGGTGACATCCGAAGTCATAAATTTATACAAAAAACAAAGGCGCTGATGTCGACTAGTTTAGCTTCGGCGAGCTTTCGTGTTCAGCTGAGGCAGTTCATGGCTAAGCCTCTCCTTTTGCTATAGCGGTGCACGCAGCTATACGAAATCATTTGCAAAGAAGATGGAGATTATATCAATTCAGTACTTGAGCTAAGATCAAACATCATTTTAAGCAGCATACACTAATTGATTATGATTATTTGAATCTAACGGTTCTAATAATCTGAATAAACAAGGAGAATGTAATTGATATATAGTTCTCTATCCAGTGCACATGAATGACTTTTTCTTTACCGCATTTTACAGGAGGGACGTTCGCATTATACTCACTGTTATGCCGATATGCAAGGGTTGGGTTGATCCCGAGTCAGCAACCGGAAGATCAAGACGTGTCTAATTTCCAGTTGGAGCTGCCGAGCAATCGCCTACTAAGGGCATCGAAGCTCAAGTCCAAGCTCGAGAAGAGCTGGTTTGCCAAGTTCTTCTTGCTCTTCGCCACCATGCTCGGCACTTCCATGGTCGTTGGTGATGGTGTCCTCACTCCTTGCATCTCCGGTACGCACCTCTAATCATTCCCGTCTCAAACTCTTTTTTTATACCAGAGTAATTAGGTAGCACACTTCTGATCGATAAAATGACCATATCATTTAGTAAATGTAATTTTATAGTCCTTTTCTTATATACCAAGTATAAGCATTCCTTTTGGGTGACATAGGAATTATACCAATAGCTCTTACTAAATCATGTGAATAAAGAAGACAAAGACGACCGAAATGCAGGGGCGACTAAGCACAACAATCATGCCCTTTTTATTCAAACCCTAGTGGTAGAAATTGGGTTCAATTTCGTCCCCTGCCATTTTCTTGACTTACTGCAAAGGAGTTGCGTTTCCCGATTGAACACTAGAACGATCTGGGTGTGGTCCAACTTATTTTTGGGGTCTTTTAGCTAAATAAGGGAATGCATGTACATCAACTCGCAAGAACTCTCCCTAAATAGCAAATTGGAGATTATGGAAGGACAGTGAGGAATAGCATTTCTCTTTTAATTAATCTGGCTTGCGTAACATACGACTGGTTCTATGGTTACAAATGTTAATGTCAATTCGCAATGTTTGACTTGCAATCCCATGTGTGCGTTGCAGTTCTGTCAGCTGTTGGAGGGATAAAGCAAGCTACTTCTGCAGTGACAGAAGGTATTATACTTTATATTATCACATCAGCCACATTAATGTCTCTCTACTTGTTCTATTATTCAAAGACATACTTCATACTCTAGATACTATGCACCATGTGATAGCACAACAAATTAATCCCTAGGTACCATATTTTATATGTACTGCATCAATGCATCCAATTGTCTGAGTAGAGATGTCAAACCTTTTCTTTTTAAACTTTTGTTGCGGAAAGAAGACCTTGCAATTGAGCTTAATCAAGAGATGATGGAGAAATAAGCAAGAAATAGAGGAAATAACTCGTTTGGGATTGACGTGGTTCTGTCGGAGCTACAGTACTTATTCCAAGGAGAGACCGGTGACTATACCACAAGCTTAAATCTAGAAAGCCCTCATACCCAAGCCTAATACACCCAGTATTTCACTCAAATTCTTGAGTGTTTCATCACAAAATGTTTTAAGAGGAAAGAAAATACCCTCGAAACACTCTCAAGAGACTCTAACGTGTAATACTCTTAGAACAGGTTAAAAAGTGAACTTAAAACATGATTTTCGGGCCTGTTCCTAGAAGACCCGGCGTATAGCCTTGTCTAGTTGGACGTCGGAAGCCTTGCCAAAAAACTCCTCGACCTATTGTCGACTGCGGGTTTCGATCCTCACTTGAGTCCTTGGCCAAACAATTTTTCGGTGCACAAAAAGGAGAAAATGAATCAAACCCCACACTTTGTCTTATTTTTTTAATGTTTTACTCAGAAATTTCTTGACTTGGTCCATTTGATGTTGACATTTTATCTCTTTAGAGGGGCTTAAGTTAATTTAATCCGACTTAGTACGAATATGGCTACCCCGTTGCCCTGTAAAGGGACGACAGAAATTAAAGAGACTGAGTAGGTTCTTTGAACAAACTTATAAATTAAGATAATTTCACCCCTGAGTGGAGAGTTATCTTATCCTACAGAAGTTATTACTGTAGAAAAACATATCCGTGTGACTGGTGATTCAGGTTTCGATGGTCCAGCCTTGACCTGTGGTCCCAGGTTTATGTGTGATATAACTAGGCGTCTCTTAATTCTTCCTTCTTCTTAAAACTCGAACACCTCTGTGTTCCACAGATATGATAGTATGGATTTCGGTGGCGATACTGGTGGGCTTGTTCGCGGTCCAAAGGTTCGGGACTGATAAAGTCGGATATAGTTTCGCTCCAATCATATGTGTTTGGTTCGCATTTATCAGCACGATTGGTTTCTACAATTTCGTCAAGTACGACCCCGGAGTCATCAAAGCCATCAATCCGGTTTACATCATTGATTATTTTCGGAGGAACAAAAAGGAGGGATGGATATCTCTCGGTGGCATTGTCCTAGCCATAACAGGTACGCTCGAATTGCTTTGTTTCCTAATTTATTGTCCTGGGCGTATAGTCTCCGTATAATGGATAAGTTCGTCGTATGATGCAGGAACGGAGGCATTATTCGCCGATGTTGGACACTTCACGGTCCGCTCGATACAGATAAGCATGTGTGCCGTGACGTACCCCTCACTCGTATTGGCGTACACTGGGCAGGCCTCGTTTCTTCGCAAGCATAACGATCTTGTCGATGACGCATTCTTCGAATCTACACCCGGTGAATATCCTCTAACCTTCATATGCACGCTAACTCTTTGAGATTAATTACAGATGAAAACATCCTTTAAGGTTGTATGTGTTCATCTAAATATTGAAGATGGCGATAACTTTCTGTGATGCAGGGCCTTTATATTGGCCGATGTTCGTGATCGCTGTACTGGCCGCAATCATTGCGAGCCAAGCTATGATCTCAGGGACGTTTTCGATCATCCAACAATCGCTCTCTCTGGGGTGTTTTCCTCGCGTGAAAATTGTGCATACATCGTCGAAATACGAAGGACAAGTTTACATACCAGAGATTAATTATCTCCTGATGTTGGCATGCGTTGCGATCACTCTTGGCTTCAGGACTACCGAGAAAATAGGCAATGCCTACGGTAAGTCATTGTTTCTTACACTTTTTATAACCCTATTATGTCCTAGGTGCCTAACATCACTTAAAATCATACAAAGTTTAGTACCTCTAACGACAGTGCATCTGAAAAATAAAAATCAATGATGAAGGCACGGTTTATTGATTTTTTTTGCTTCGCCTCGCAAAAGTAATTGTCATTACAGTAAATGTCGCGTTTTCATGTATCTATAATTTCACTATATTAAGCATATCATGATGCATAATTCATGTGTGATCTTATTTATCTGTGTAAGGGTCTAAATATATGTATATTTGTTTCATGCAGGCATAGCGGTGGTCTTTGTGATGACCCTCACATCTGGATTCCTGGTGCTCATCATGATCATGATATGGAAATGGAACATCTTCGTTGTCATCACGTATGTTCTAGTTGTGGGCAGTGTGGAGCTTCTCTACTTAAGCTCAGTCCTCTACAAATTCTACAGAGGAGGATACCTTCCATTGGCCTTTGCCACCGTCCTTATGACCATTATGTACGTGTGGAACGACGTGTACCGGCGCAAATACTACTATGAGCTCGACCACAAGGTGTCACCGGAGAAGGTCAGGGAGATCGCCACTAACCCCGCCGGCCTCTGCCGCATTCCGGGGCTCGCGGTCTTCTACTCTGAGCTTGTCCACGGGATCCCCCCGATTTTCAAGCACTATGTGGAGAACGTGCCTGCCGTCCACTCCGTCCTTGTCTTTGTCTCGATAAAGTCACTCCCGATAAGCAAAGTCCCGTCAGAAGAGCGGATGTTGTTCCGCCGAGTTGAGCCAAAGGAGCTCAATGTGTTCCGGTGCGTTGTGAGGTACGGGTACACCGACTCACGGAACGAGCAAGATGAGCCATTCGAGAGGCTCCTATTTCAAAGGCTCAAGGCGTTTGTAATGGAAGAGCATTGGACTATGACCGATCGATTGAGGTTGAACAAGGGCGAGGATGATGACGAGCAATCGGTTGATGGGTTAGAGACTGCAGAGAATTGTGAGAATGGGGTAAAAAAAGAGATTTATGATGAAGCTAATGATGAATGTAATCATAAGGCACAAGAGGCATCGGAGAGAGAAATTGCTGTGTTAGATAGGGCTTGGCGTGCGGGTGTGGTTCACTTAATTGGTGAGAATGAGGTGGTGGCAGCGAAAGGGGCTAGTTTGGGGAAGAGGGTCTTGATTGACTATGCTTACAACTTCTTGAAGAGGAACTTGAGACAGAGTGACAAGATCTTTGACATTCCCCACAAGCGAATGTTGAAGGTTGGGATGACTTATGAACTTTAGGGAAAGAGTTAGATAAATTATGTTGTGAATAGGGAGAAATTACTAATTATGATCAAGGTGTTAAATTATTATGGTCAAGAATCACAAGATGGTAAAGTTGGTCTTTAGAGGGCACAATGTATAAGGGGGGCAAAAATGATGAACACGAATGTATAAGGGGGGCAAAAATGATGAACACCTTATCTAGTGGTATGGTTTATACAATGCAATCTTCAGAAATTTACATTCCACATGTATACGTACTTCTAATTGATTTTTGGCTTTCTTTTCTCTTAAACTCTTGTAATCAAGAAACTGCAACAGTGAAAGAATGTTGAGGTGAAACATGAAAAATTCGTATAAAGCTATACTTGATACAAGAATGTCGTCTGTTGAACTTCTATGGTACTTTAATTAATGAAATTGGGTAAAGCTTTTGTGATCATGAAAGTGTAGCCATCGAATGCAGATGATCTGAATAAGAACAACCTCATGCTTGTATCTTTATGATCTTTGACGATCCGACAACTGATTTGTCCATCAGTTACATTGCCGTGTCTTCATGCGAAATCAGAGCATCGGTTCCAATCCTCTCGAATAAGAAAAAAAATCGAACAATTAAGATAGACATAGAGATGCATAAAACAGAGAACAAAGACAAAAGAAGGGCCGCGCTTTTTCCATTCCTACCATGACTAAAACACTCCCTGTCACAATATTTTGACAATTTTAACCTATGTGGTCCCATCTTTTTTAAGCATCCTTTTTTGCTTGGTTGTGGTGCCCATTTGTTTGCTTCTTTATTTTTTCTTGCGAGTCCCATTTTCCTCATCCTTCGTTCCTTCTCTCCGTTCCCTCTTAATTCTGATCATGGTTCAAGCCTTGGTGGTTTCTATAAAAAGAAAAAAAAGAACACTCTCTTTTGTGGTCTGTCTTTGTCACTTGTTGTCCCCGCATTGTCGCACTAATCGGTTTTTCAATCGTTAACCGGAATTTGATGCCCATGAACACAATAGACCTAAAGGCTCCCGCATTGAACTCAACGCCTATGAGAACACAACGATTTGAACAATTGACGGTGGCTCATCGCATAAGGGCTCGGACTTGAGAATTGAGTTCACAATCACCTCTTCAGTCCTCTCAATCACCGACGGCGACAGCTCGGTAATTGAGAAGGGTGCGGAAGTTAGAGAAACCGCGAGGGCGAGGAGGGGCAAATCCTTGCCGGTCGCATTTTCGTTTTGCATAAATAACTTAATGAGACGGGGGAAGATTCGAGCCATATATTTGAAGGTAGGTAGGTAATGGTGAATTGGCAATGAAGGCGACAATTAGGACCAAGAAGACAAAGACAAAGAAGCGGGCATTTTTGATGAACTTGATGAGGTTTTGGGCAGAGCTTCAACTCCTCTATCTGAATCTTTAATGGGGTTTTTTTTTTCTTGTTTTCATGATCGATCAATTGAAGAGTTTGATGCGAAATGGGATAATGAATAACACAGAGCGAAAGTGATGGAATGGGAGTGAAGAGATATGAGATTTTTTTACTTACGATTGAGCTTTGAGTTGAAGAAGTGGAGATGGAAGATGACTAGTTGGGTGAGGAGGAGGTTTTTGCAAATTTGGGCTTCAACACAGACTATTGACATGAAATGGATGTTTTAGAAAGAGAGAGAACAAAGAGAAATAAATGAGAAAAAGGAAAGTGGACCTGCGAGATAAGAGAAAGAAGAAAAGCAAACGAAGAATTCTTAAAAAAGATGGGACCTATAAAGGCTAATATTGTCAAAACCTTATAAGAGGGAGTGTTTTGGCCATAGTGGGAGTGGAAAAAACGCGACCCTAAAAGAATAATAATATTTTGATTTCTGAACCGTTTGTTACAATCAGTGATGACTTATATACATACACTTAGAAAGAATCTTAAGCCATAAATATTGACAACAGAATTGGTAACCATCAGTAGATAAAAAGTTTGAATCAATCTCGGATTGCTAATCATGCGGATATTCTTATTGTGCTCTGATTCTAGTGCAAGCTGGAGATAGCGTTTGAATCAATCTCGAATTGTTTATCATGTGGATATTCTGATTGTGCTCTAATTCAGGTATGAGTTGAAGAAAACGTTTGGTTCCGATACAAGCTTGAACAGTTGGCAATGGACTAGGTCAACATCTCCCTGCAAGCTGACGAGGCGAAACAAATCGTCAGCTTGGATTGTAAGAGATGAAACCGAGTAGATGACAAGCCTTTAGTAAGAATGTCTGTAGGCTGATCACCGGAGGAGATAAATTGAACATAGAGTTGTCCGCAAGTGAGATGCTCACGAATGAAGTGGTAATCAATCTCCATATGTTTTGTATGAGTATGAAAAACTTGATTCGCCATAAGATAAATGGCAGAAAGGTTGTCGCACCGGAGCGTGGGTGGATGAGGTGCTAGAGTATAGAGATCACGAAAAAGATACTCAATCCACATAATTTCAATAAACATGTTGGCAAGGCATTTGCATTCAGTCTCAGTACCAGAGCGTGCCACAGTTCGCTAATTGCAAGAACACCACGAGATAAGATTACTGCTGAGAAAAACGCAGTATCCACCAACATAGCTATGATCATCATAATCACCAGCTTAGCCAGCATTTGAAAATGCATGAAGAGTGAGTAAAGAAGTGTGAGTGAAGATAAGTCCATAACAAGGAGTATCCACTAGATACCGAAGAATGTTTTTCATAGCTTGCCAACGTACAGTGGTAGAAGCATGAAGGAACTGACAAGCAATATTCACTGAGTATGTAATGTTAGGTTGGGTGAGTGTTAAATATTGGAGGGCACCCACAATACTGCAGTAGAGGAGAGGATTAGGTAATGGCTCCCCTTGACAAATGGACAATGGTTCATTGGTGGTGCATGGGGTGGAAACATATTAATTATCAAACATCTTTGCACGATCTAGAATCTCATGACTGAACTTGGCTTGATGTAGATGAAGTCTGTTGGAGGTAGATTGTACCTTAACACCTAGAAAATAGTGAATAAGTATGAGATCCCTGATGGCAAATTCACCATGTAGAGCCTGCAAAAAAAGTTGGCAGTGGAGAATTAGGAGAGTCGTTAAAGGATTATGTTGTCCACATAAAATAATAAGATGTTGTAGGATGTAAAATGATGAATGAACAAGAACGAGTTAGCAGTTGAGATAAGAAAACTGATGTTGGTGAGATAGGAGCTAAGCCGTTGATACCAAGCACGAGGAGCTTGTGCTTCAGACCTTAAAGAGAGAGACGGAGACAACAGACATGATGAGGCCGTTGGGGGTCAACAAAGTCCCGAGTTTGGATCATATACACCTCTTCAAATAAATATCCATGGAGAAAGGCATTTGAGACATCAAGCTATTGGATAGACCATCCTCGAGAGTAAGCAAATGGAAGAACAATTTGGATAATGACTGCTTAAGCCACTGAGCTAAATGTCTTACTATAGTCAATGCCAACTTGCTGATGAAATCCCTTAACAACAAGTTAGACTTTGTAGCGTTCTAGTGTACCATCGGAGCAAAGTTTGACCTTGACGACCCATTTATAGCCAATAGGGTGAGCATGAGAAGGTAGCGGAACCAATTTACAAGTGTTATTCTGGACAGCATTCATGACAGTCCGTCATTTTGGATCTCGTGATATTTGAGAAAAACAAATAGGCTCAGTGTAAGGATGAGTAATTGTCGTAAGAGCAAAAGTGTGATTTCGGTTAAGGATTTTTGTGAGAGATGGTGCCATCACGGAGACAAGCAACCATATGGTGAGTAGATGCCTGTGAAGATGTTGCTGGTGATGGTGGAGAAGTGAGTTAAGGACTTGAGCCGGAGATGGTGAGGATGATGTCAGGGACATTGAAGCCGGTGAAGCGGAGTCCATAAATCGTGAGTGCTCGATAGGAGCAATCGGCAGCGGTAGTAGTGGTAACTGGATTGGCAACATAGTAGGCGGTGACGGTGGAGACGCAGATGTAGTCTATTGAAACGAGAACAGTCATCAAGATAGCATCAGTAGTAATGTAAGTACGCCGGGTCCAAGGACAGTTGCAGCGGTAGCCTTGGTAACCTAGAGGATACCAAAGAAAGATGCAGGTTCTAGAGCGAGAAGTTAGCTTGTGTTAGGCATACGGTCGTAAGTATAAAAATGCTGTGCAACTGAACACTCGTAAGTGAGATATATCAGGAATGGTACAGAAAAGAACCTGTCAGGTAGACAAATTGTCTAGAACATAAGTTGGAAGCCAATTGATCAGGCGAACTATAGTCTTTAAGGCAATTTCCAAATACGAGAAGGAACATTAGCTTGGGTCATGAAATTAGGGCCAATCTTCAATATATGATGATGCATGCGTTTAGCAGTCCTATTTTGGAAAGGAGATTACGGACAAGAGATGCATTGATGAATCTCTTGACTAAGAAGGTGAAAGGGCATGCAGAGGATAAGAACTTGGGTGCTCCATCACACTAACCTGCACTGAAGTTGAGTCTCCACAAGTGCATGAAAGGCTTTAAAAATGTTGCAAAATTGATTTCCAGATGTGAAGGGATAGAGCCAAGTAAATCGAGAAAAGTCATCAATAAAACAGACGTAATATTTATAACTTGAAAGATAAGGCATGGGGGATGGACCCTAAACATCAAAATGAACTAGCTTTAGAGGGGAAGTAACCCTAGAATGGATAGGAGGGTGGGGATGGCAATGACTTTTACTAAGAGCGCATGCTGTACGGAAGATGGAGAATGTGAAAAGTTAGTTTCTGTTGAATTTAAAGACAAATCACAATATTCAAGGAAGCATGTCCCAAACAGTGATGCTAAGCAGTGAGTGAACTGGTGCGGGACGACACAAAAGTAGATGGAGAAGTTGCCGAGCTAGAGGGCGAAACATAGTATAGGCTGGAATCAACATTGCCTCGAAGAAGGATTTGACCCGTAAGTAAGCACATCGCGAGAAAATATGTAGGGTAAAATAAGAAAACATAGTTATTATTGAAGGAAAATTAAAAAACGAATAATAACTTCTTGGTGATATTAGGAACAACTAAAACATTCTTATGGATAAAGAAATGAGACGTAGAAGACACAAAAGTATATGTGTGAGTGATGGGAAGAGAGATGCCATCACCCATAGTGAGTTGTTGTGAGCTTGTATAAGGAATGACATTAGTACGACCAATGGTACTATCAGTGACATGATGGGTAGTACCGGAGTGAGGGAACCAGTTGGAATCAACATGGCTGATGGAGGTTGAGGTGGTGGAACTTAGGGTATTGAGTTATAGGCAGTGGTAAGGAGTTGTAATATGCCTGTGGAGGTGGAGAAATGGCACGA